CTGTCTATACTTCGGACAAAATTTAATTACGTGCGCCGGGTCACCACAGAATACGCACTGACCCATGTTCACGCGTTCCTGCCATAATCGCTGGTCCAAGCCGAAGTCTTCCCAGGGCCTGCCCTGCGGCAAGCCTGTGTGCCATCCTCCTTGAGGTGCCCTTCCACCTCCTCGCTGTGGGGACCAGTTACCCTGGCGATTTAACGGGGGACCTTGACCCCTACCTCCCGCTTGGCGGTTTCCCTGTCCGCCAACCCCCTTGGCGCCCGGTCCTCGGCCTCCCATGGCYTGGCCCCTTTGGCCCTGGCCTCCTCCTCTACCTTGCGGCCTCCCTCTGGCCGCGACAGCAGCGTAAGACCTCCCCTGCCCTACACTACTGTACTCCTCCCCTAGGCCCCACTCAATCTGATCATATGGGACCTCTTCTGTACCACCCTCTTCTAATGTCAGGATCAAGTGATCCTTGGCCTTCACTTGGCCCGAGATGGTACGATCTTTCCACTTCTTCCCCTTCTCCAGGTCCTTATGCCAGAAAGTGGTAACTGGCATTGACTTCGACTCATACAGGACGACTTCTCTACTCAACGCATCGTAAGGCATGCCGGCCTGTTGAGATTTGTCAAAGAAATGCCCGCGTAGGGCCTCTGGAATGGCACGATAAAACAACTGGACCAGCTGGGGCTCAGTGACCCCGTGGTCCGGGACGGCTACCAAGTCGTCCATGGTACCCTTGAGTGCCTTGGCACTCCTCCACTGCCGGGAGTAGATCGTTTGGAGCTTATCAGAGGCTCTAATGCCTCGTGTTGGGTCAACGAACCGCTCCTTGAGGAGCTTGAGGAATTGGGAAAGAGGAGCGACTTTGGAATATGCAACCAGGTTGTTTTCACAACCGGCTGTACGCGCGAGAGACCTAGCGAAGCTAGCCGCTTCGTCCTTCAGGGCCTGGAAGGCCACGAGGACTTGCTCCTCCATCAGGATATGCTGTAAATAAATGTAACTATTGACACTGGCCTCCCAGTTGTCAAAGTTCTCGTCCTTCTTCCCCCCGTACGCGTYTGGGAACTTAAGTTTCACTGGGTCCTTACGGGGTCTGGCCTCTCCCTCTACAGCGGCTACTGCTTTGGCACCCTGAATGGCGCCCTCACAAAACTTCCCTGCATTATCTCTCAATTGCTTCACTTCGTCCCCAATATGGGTGACGAACTCGCGCGCGAAATCTCTAAACCCTGASCGCATGGCACTCAACGCTACATCCTGGCTCCAGCTTGCCTGGCGCTCCTCCATCCAGGCCTTGCTCAACACCTCTAGATACCCCAGTACTTTGTCCCACTTGGCCTTATCATTTGGCTGGGCCAGCACCTCCGCTCTACACTCCTGCACCTTTGCCATTGTTGCGGTCATCTTATTCACTTCCTCTCTCCTCCTCTTCTTCTCCCTCTTCATTCTCAACTTCCATGCTAACTTTTGCTTGTCGTCCCTCTCTCTTCGTTCCATTGGGTCTGTCATGGCCGCTAGCTCAGCGGGCAGCGCAGCCTTCTCATCCTTAGTCACATAGGACTCCGCCTCCTCGTCTTCCCCCAACGATAAATTAGCGACCCACTCGCTGATCTTCTTCTCCAGCTCAGTATCTGTCTACCACTTCATCGTGCCACCACTGCTCCCTTCTCCACTCTCAATTCTCATTTTCTCTTTCTTTTCTTCTGCTGCCGCTTCTGCTTCAGCAGCCTTCCTTCTTTCTTCCTCCTCTTGTTGTACCCTCTTCATCTCCTCCTCCAACCTCTTCATCTTTGCCGCCTGCTCGTCTGTGATAGCCTTTAGCTTCGCCTGCTTCTCGCGCTCTTTTCTCTCCTTGTTCTCTCTGACTAAGGCGGCCATCTTTTCTTGCTGCTCCTTGCTATAGGGGTTAGTCTCTAGCCCAGTACGGGTCTCCACCGTGGTGATAGGTGCACAATCAGGATGATTCCACTCCTCACCACGTAGACTCTAACCCCCTGACTGACAAACCTGTAGACTCAATCTAAGAACCCACAGATTCCTGACAAGGACCTTGTCAACTATGGTCTCTAGCCTAGACCTATGCTATGGCTGTCACCACTGAACCAATGGCTGATCAGGAGGCATTTAAGGAGATCCCCCGTAACTCCTCAACAATTCTTTAACGTCGCAGACAGGACGACGTGATCAGCTTGGTGCTGCCTGTGCTTTCAGCCCACAACTCAGCCTTCCAGCCTACTGTGCCACACCGAGCAGCCCGCCGGTCTGTACCGGTCCTTGGGAGGGTTCGTATCCCCTGGGACAGTCGAGTCGTCAGACACAGATCATCAGCCTTACTTGGTCTGGTAGGGGAGTGGTTCCAACAGGCCCTCAACACTTAAAGACGGCCTCCGTTTCAGCCTGCAGCTCAGAGTTCGGACCCTCTGCACTGAAACTGAGCAGACCTGCCGGACAGTACCGGTCATTGGGCTAGACGAGTTGTTTAACGAGCGCTCGCCGCTCGTGCCCCTTTATCCAGATACCAGAGTAGAGATTAGTCCTACTAAGTCCCGTGCAGGTTTGGCAGCAAGGCCCTATCCTTCATCCACAGAGTTCTATGACCTAGGACAGAAGAGACTCAATGCAGAAAGAATAGACAGACAGACTGTACTCAGCAAGTACCAAGGGGTATGTGCACATCCATAGGGCAAGGGAAGGCTAAGGGCTTGGCGAGATGTTACCAACTCCAGCTTGGTCAAAGTCTTGGTCAATGCCGGTCAACGCTGCTATGACCCTCGGTCAACTTCGGTCAACTCCGGTCAACGCCTCCGGTCAACCCTCTCGGTCAACTCC